CAGATAAATTCTCCAAATCTATGTATATTTTCACTCAATAAAATATTTTACAATTATCTCTAAATTAAAAACATATAATCACTCTTTTTGGGCAGGTAATCATATGTAGAAACTTAGAGACAATTTGATAAAAACATAAGAAATTTTATAATCATTATAGTTTTACTAATTTTTCTTATGTCTTTTTATACATATATCACTCCAAGTGAGATACTAATCTAAATGTACCTATATAGATCACTAAAAGTTAAAACTTAGAATGTCCCTTATCATTTTATGCACTTTAAAAATTTTCAAATCATATTCCATACTACCAAGTAAATTGTCTTAATAATTAGTAATACATTTATATGGCATTTCAATCTTTCAAGCATGACTATAAGAAATTTCAAAATTAAAATTTGACCGGTCAAAAAGAACAACTACTTATACAGATACTTTATATTTATGAGTTTCAACAAATTACACAATCTTCATACCATAAATCTCAACATAACAGTGTATGATGAATGCCAACAATGCATATTTTCTAGATAAACATATACAGATTATAATTATAGTATAAATCAATTTCATGTACATGATAATGTTCATGTGAGAAATATAATATTTTCAATATTACCAAACATGAGTTGTGACACAAACATTAAGGTAAGTTAATCTAGTAAGCCTTAACAACATTATATTTTAGTCAAAACCTTTAACATATTGAAATTCGCAAAACTAATTTTACCAACTTGACTGAAACTTTTACTTGTATCAATTTACTTTCACAACTCATTTTTTATTACGTAGGATCTTTATGATAATATTTACCAAATTTCATGATACCAAAAGACATGCTCCAAATACTTATTAAAAAATAAATTTTTACTTGTTGCTCTTTCAACATATTATAATATCATAATTATAAAATAATTAGTATCTTATGAGAGCATACTTGATTTAATAAGTATTTTGTAAAAACAAAAGATTTTAAAAGCTAGTCTAACAATTTATGTGAAACAAATTCGCTATGCAATTATTTAACACGTGTTATTTCTCATAACATAATTACATAATTTTTAACAACAATACTCTTTCACTGTTTTCGTAGATTATCATAAAATCTAAATGTCTTATATAAATCATTATAGCCAATAATACTATTTCATATGTCTATGAAAAACAAGAGTTTCAAAAATATATATCACATTATGCATTTTATTAGGCTTTAAACTTAATGCTTAAAATTCCAAATCATAATTATGTGATATATAAAATTAAAACATTGTAAGCATACTAAACATAGTTATTACACATAACATATACTTTGAAAACAATCAAATTTAATTTCACCCATGACATTTTGCATAAGTATGATTCTTTATAAAACCACTTTATTAAACGATGATAAACTAAAACAAAGTAATATAACAAATTTACTGATCATGCTTGTGACAATAATTTTAATGGATTCATATGACTAGACAATATTTAAAGGATTCACAAATTGTCTTAAGTAAAAGATTTTTATTATCATAAAATGTAACATTATAACAATTGGACAATAATTAACAAAATGTTTAATACTTAACGATTATGTCCAAGAAAACACCCATGACTTAGTTAAGCTCTAAATCACTTTTTATCACTTTTAATTAGAGCTATTTAATTTTTATTACTAAATCAACTGTAATATTCGAGACAAAAGAATGTAACTTTTCACATATGAGCAATAATCCATACAAATTGCACTAGCTCATGATGTGTTATTAATAATTAAATTAAAAAGTCCAAATGCATCATCACAAACTTTCCTTTGGGTAGAGAATGTGATATGCGATTAGGCATTTTTCACATGAAGTCATTACGAAAATATTCTAATTTTCGAAAAGCCTATCCCCTTTTGTGTTAAACCTTCCAAAGCAGTATACCATCAATCGTGATGCTTCATGTCCACTTTAAATTACCAAACACAATAAACCCATTTGGGCAGGCAATTGTATAAGGTAATTTGACAATACTCCCGTTCCTGTAAATGAGAAAATCTTGCAAGTTTCAATAAGTTAGCCACTTTGGTAGCCAAACACTCATATTAACTACTTGTATATTTTTACACCGAGAAACTTAGATTGCTCATAACTTTAATTTGATATACTTAACTAAGTGTATGCAATTTGACCACTCTTGCGAAATACTTAACAATTATGTATCTCTTTGAGTCATTAAATACTTAAAAAGCTTATCATTCCTATGTGAGCCACTAATAATTAATGTGTATCTCGATGGATCATTATAAATATGATCTCTCCTTGTGAGATACTTAGAGCGAATGTGTCTCACTAGATCAAAATTAATTTATTGCATTCAAAATCAAAGTGTCTTGAAATTCATGAATAAATCAATATTAAATCCATAATTTATTCTTATGTACCATCCATCACAATATAAATTTCACAAATTAATGATGATAGATAATGTCAACATAGTCATGGAAAAAATAAATCAAGGCAATAATTTTACACTTCAATTATTTCATATAAATAATAATTCAATATTATCTAATGATCAAATGAAAATTATAAAGTAAATTACCAATTGATACTAGCTGTACCTAAACCTCATGGAGTTCAAACCTAATTTGCCTTTCAAAATAATGCATGTTGCATTTTAAATGGATAGCCAAAAATTAGTAAAAACAAATTTTACTAATTTTATTCAATTATGCACATAACTTTACGTTGAGAGTATGTAAATTTTAAACAACATATAGGGAGAGTACATATCTCTAATTGATTCACAGCATGCCAAAATATTTTATCATGAAATAATTTCTTAGAAAACATGTGTATAATATATAATAATTACTGAATTATGCATGAATATAAAATAATAAATATCATGCAATAAAAAAATTCCAAAACAATAATAGAAAAATCATATATAAGCTATTGGGGTAAACCACACGTGCCACCAGTCGAGAGTGTGATTTGTCTTGCATCTATTGGGAGGTTGTCTTCAACATCTAATGGAGTCCCAGTTAGATCCTATTTTGACTTGTTCGGGTCTTTTTCTTGTTTTAAGCTCGATTTTGATGCTTTTTCTTGTGTTTTTCATGAAATTGAACTTTTTAAAACTCAATTAAGTCATTGTTTTATCCAACCTATATGAAAACCCACATCAAAAACTACAAAAACAAGATCAATTGACCGAAAGAAACTAGATTGTTAAACCTATATTTAACCCATGTCAAGCTTTCTTCAAATTTCATGGTTTTCTTTGATTTTTTATGCAATTAAATCTTTTAAACTTTAATTAACAAATAAATTTACTAAGCCCATGCATCAATTTGCATCAAAACAACATGAATCAATATAAATTTGAGCCAAATTTTCAGATTAAAAACTTATACATAATCCAATTTGGTTTTATTCAAATTTGGGCTTATAATCCAAAATTTTATGGAATTAAACACTTTGTTTCATCTTTATAGTATGTGGGTAACAATTTTCAAGAACCAATTTGAATTAAAACACATAAAATATCAAGGTTTTAATTAAGTCTTGAATTTGGTTTAAATTTTGAACCTATATCTTTAAAACCTGATTTTTCTCTTTATATGATGAATTAGGAAACATTTCATACATGGTTTTAATCCTCTTGCAGAGGAGAACAAAAGCACCAAATCAATTTTGGAAAAATAATATTAGAAAGTTGGATTGCGGCAATCACAAGATTTCCCCTCAAAACTTAATTTCATGCTAAATTAAAATTTAAAAATCATAAATTTGGGTCCTAATTTCACCTAAGAAGGTTTTGATACCATATGTAAGCATAATTCTAAATCCCAAGAACCATATGTAAATATTAGAACACCAAATTTAATTATACTGCGTACTTGTTTGGTTAATCATAATCGATAAGCAGAAGCAACATCAATTCCTTAAGAGACTAGATCTTCCTTTTAGCTCTTCTCTTATTGATGGCTCGAAATGGGTAGATACCAGTTACTTAGAAGGAATGAGGGGACTTTAGCCAATTTATATTAAAACCCTAGAAACCTCCCAATCAAAGGTTTATCGGGTTAAAGGCCTATACAACCGCTAAAACATACTGACCTAATAAGATGTGTAAAGTCCATACTTAGGTGATCATATTAAATTATTTGAGCTCTCATGCTTTTCTCGTATTACAACTAAATTTATTAGTCTATTTTGTTAAATATTAAAATCACCAATTAGTAGTAACCCACTTACTGAAAAATTTTAACACGCAAATGTTTCCAACATTCTCATATCATTGGCATAATATCTTGATTGTTTAATCCAATATGAAACTAGAGTCAAATTGAATTGTGAGAATTTTGAGAAGGAAAAAGCTGATTTTCATGATCTTGGAGATATAGAAGTTATCTTTAAAAGGGGTCCATCTGGCACCCTTCTGCAGCATGCTTGATGGTAGATCTCCGTTGAATTCTAGCAATATATTTTTCTTATTTTCTGGGCTGGGCCTTAAACATATTGATTAGGACTGGGTTGCCTTGTGAGAAACATTCTTATTAGAGTTCTGAAATGCACTTAAGTGTCCTTTGTGCCTTTCGTCCTTGTCTTTATCTGCAGCGGATGCAATGCTGCAAATGAAGAGAATGCTTTTCTATCTTCTACCCTACTCTTTCTTCTTGGAAAATAAAAGGAGATCAAATAATATTATGTTAAGTGAGGGGAAAACACTTGTTTTTGTTATGCTTCTGTTTCAGTAATCTTTAATTTTTTGTGGTTTCTTCGGTACGACACATGGATCTGCTAGCATACATTAATATTATTCTCTGTATTCAAATGTCTTGTACCAGCTTATTCTTTTGGCATAGCAGTTCTTCTGAATTATTTCTCTTCTTGATTTCTGAACGCTAGTTGAGACTTATGTTGGATCCATCAAACACATAAAACGTCTTTACTGGCAACAACTCTGAATGCAAGATGATTCATGCAAAGCTTACATGACATTTGGGCTTATTGCAGTGTTACTATGCTCCCTGTGGTGAACTTAGATTCCTTTCCCGGGCAGAGGTGTCTTGCTATCTTGACAGGTGTGGTTCTAAAACAGAAGAGAAGGAAAAGGTGTCTGGCAAGCAATCTTCAAAAAATGTCTGTTGATGAAATTTTTTCCTTCCCTTTAACTTTATATGCTTGTTAATATTTGCCAAAATTTTTTACTAAAGCAGAAAATTTTTATTGTTCAAGCAATCTAGGTTACAGTTGAGAAGGCTGCAGCGGAAGGGTTACCTCCAGGATGGACTAAGGAAGTCAAGATAACAAAGAGGGCACATAGAGTCAGAAAAGATGCGGTACTAAAACTTTTTTCTTATAGTTGTCTGCATACTTTCTAAAGAAAATTTACCAGTAGTTCATAGTAAGCATCCTGGTCCTGTCATGGTCGTGGACATTGATTTGCCTTGGTTTGTGATCTTTCAATTATTCTTGCTTTAAAGTTGATTTGTTGCCTTGCCTATTAGCTGCTGCCCACTTCTACTTTAATTGATATTTAATTTCTGCAGTTTTACACTGATCCTGTGAGTGGATATGTATTTCGTTCCATGAAGGATGCACTTCGTTATGTTGAAACCGGGGAGCTTGGAAGGCTTGCTTTCAAGCCGAAGGACAAGGGCAGCAATGATGATGACTTGGAAGAAGATAATATCTGTGTATGTGAAATCATGTTTGGATTCTCCTAGTTTCTATAGTTGTATTTCTCAGTTAATTCTATAAGAAACTTTGCTTACCTTTTGGTTCTCTACTTTTTTAATTTCCATGGTTACATTTATTAGTCAATTGGATTTGTTGATCAGCAGTACTGTCTTGCCTCTGGTTATTTCTACTATTCTTTAGCCAAAGTCTTAGGATGATGGGCATTGGTATTAAAATGCACACTCTGGCGTTAGAAAAATCAGAATACACATGATTGTTGCTAATCCTGTGAACAGTTAGAAATCTGTGAGACAAGTACTTGCATTTCACTCATAGAGTATGAAGTTGAAGATCAAGTTTATGTTTTATCTTATTGCACATTTTCCTAAAATTGAAATTCTCTTGTTTTGGAACCATTGCCTTTGTCTTTCTCTTGACAAATGGATTATGCCTATGTGTGTGTGCATGCGCACATGTGTTTGTGTAATTTCTATACATTTTTTATGATTATTTTTTTGTATATCCTGGATGAATATGTTTATATGTATTTAGATTCTAAATTATGTGATTCTGAGAAATTATTGTTTAGCAAGGTTTCTAAACCTTGAAAATACCTGGACTCCAAGTTGCTCTGCTACCATACCAGAAGTGATTCAGCATTACAAGCTTTTCATGATTGAAGTATGTTTTAAATTCTTAGATTGCTTTAAATTCTTAGATTGCTGTGTTTGCATTTTCTTCACCTTCTTGCTGGTCATTTCTGTCTAAAGTAATGGGACTAATACTCCTTAATAAAAGCAAACATTTATCAAGAGACCAGCTTGTGCTGCTTGAATGTTGCCTCTTGCCTCTGTGAAATAATAAGGGTTGTCAGACAAATACGTCAAAAATGTCCAAACGTCTGGTTAATCTTTATTATTAGGGTTATGCAGAAGTCCATTTATCCTGAATGTTGGTACCATTGTACAAGCCTCTTGATGATGATCAGCCTTCAGAATTGACATTTAATATAGATATGTATAAACCCGTAAAATCCAAGACTGCAATAACCAATCACTTCAAAGATTTGTCTTATTTGTTGAATGGTGTCATCCCTCAATTAGTGTTTGAGGCAGCATTAACACCTATTTCTCTACTCAAGAAATTGTTCTCAGTTGTTCTATCTGGATATTGATATGCAAAACTTGACCTGTTCTTGATTATTTTATTCCTTTGTCATTTAGGAGCCTGCCATTGTTTTGCAACAGAAGGTAGCTGTGAATGGAACAACTGATGAAACAGAGGGACAGAGTGCAGAACAGGTTTCAAATTTGAGTGGGATAACAAAGGAAGAAGAGATGCTTACTTCTGCCAGTACAGGAGAACAGACATTCCTCTCTAAACAGGCTCCTGATCAGCATAAAGGTTTAAATTTGCAATCCCCTAAAACTCTGGTTAATGTTATTATTTTTCTTTCCTATTAATGGATCTTTTCTCTTCATTCTTTATTTTGCTTTACGTTTTATTTTATCATGTTTTTGGAAGGGGGATCCAGAGTTCTATGGTATTGTTGGATCCAGACAAATTAATATAGAGTGATTTGTGAACATATAATTGAACAAGATATATTGTTTAATCTTTGGTAATGGACTACTTGATGCTGAAAGTTGGGGTGTTGGGTTCTACTGATATGCTTATTGATCAGATCAGATAGGGTAATGCATCTGATGCAATTTCTATTTCATATATCAGCTGGAGTAGGTGCTGAATTGAGCAGCTTGATCCTGTCAGAAGCTAAGGACTCAGAACAAATAGGAGGAAAAGATTCTGATGAAGGTTTACATGCTTCGGACAATTTAGTTGGAGTCCTCTTAGATAAACAGTCTAGAGAAAATGGGATGACAAGGATTGAAAATGAAAAAACCAAACAGGGAAGGGGCAAGACCAGGCTTAAAAAGGCTCTCAATATTCCTCGACGAGCTTCAAAGCGACTTGCTGGAGTTGCACTTGATCCAACACCAGAAGTAAAAACTACTAGAGGTCGCAGATCTTCAATCACGCAATTAAGTGTAGTACCTGATGCAGCTAAGAATTCTTCCCCTGGTAGCTGTATCCTTGAGGCCTCTAAACAGCCTGATCAACTTGAGTCTGCTCTGGAAACAAGCTGCGGCCTTGACGCATCTAAGAATAAGGAACTGTTATTGGCACCAAATAACATGCTTTCTTATGGGGACATGCTAACAGGAAATGGTCATGTTGAAAATTTAGAAACAAAATCTAAGGTTGATGAAGATAAAGGTGTTTTACCGCTGGGGAAAGCTGCTATTCCAGAACATTCTGGAAAGGTCGAAAGTGATGATAAAACTAGTGAGGTGCCAGGATCCCTTGTTGATATGCCTCTCGCAGATTTATGGACAGATCCATGCATTGCATTTGCCATTCAAACTCTCACTGGAATACCGTGTGATACTCCAAAAATCTCTGAGTCCAACAGTAATAAATGTCCACGAGTTCTGGCTACTCCAGAAGTTCATGATGAGAGAGAAGAAAATGGAAATAGGAGTGTTGAAAGACAAGGATGTGGTATTGATATGCCTGTGTCAGTCCCAGCCATTCGGAAAGAACATGCTGGAATGGTTGAAAAAGGCCACAAGAATGATGAGATGCCTAGGTCATCCCTTGATACGCCTTTGGCAGATATCTGGGCAGATCCTTGCATCGAATTTGCAATTAAAACTCTCACTGGGGTAATTCCAGTTGAGCATGGTCTGGGGACTCAGGATTACTTTCAGCAGCAACCGAGCACTTCGCTGACCCAATCCAATAGTCACTTGACCCTGCGAAATGTTGGTATAGATAACTTCTCCCAAACTGATTTCATATGTCAGCAATACGATGTCACAGAGCAGTCCATATCTAAAGAACATCCTATTATAAATCCTATATTTAATTATACTCATCGTCGCAATGGGGCGAGGCCATGAATGCTGAAGGCTATCGTCTTCTCTGTATAGTTCAGGAAACTTGCTAGAATTTAGAAAAGACTACTAACCTTGTAACTTTTCGCTTTATGTTTCATTGTTTCACTGCAGTCTAATTATTGTTTACCACTTGATTACACATAATTTTAGAATGAGGTTTGCATCATTGAGCTCACTAGTTAGCGTGGCAGTGCGACACTGGAATTTGAAATCAAATAACACTAACTGTAGTCCTGGTATTGTTTCTAATGTGCCATGCAACCTTTTAGATCTACCATAAAACGAACCAAAATCATAAAAAGGAAAATCAAAGCTGCAATCTTATTCTCACGCTACAATATATATGGTTCATTTTTCACAGTTTACAGGCTTGTAAAATGCACCTGGACCTCGAGGAAAATGACATATAAGAAAAATTAAACAGCGTCGTTGCAATCGTAAAATCGGTGCAGACAGAACGGTTTCCTTATTTTCTGTCGAAGCATCCACCAACACAAACATAAGACCCGCGACCTTCCAGGTTGCTACTTGCCGTCAATTACCCAAATATCAAATTGAAATCCGTCGAAGTAAATGTTCCCCGTGTTTCTTGTACAGAGAGGAATCCAATCATATTTATTAGTATTAACTCATGGAATTTTGCTTTTGCAGATAAAGTGAAAGAAAAATGCAGATCCAGGTAAAGTGTAGCTGTGGAGCTGAGAAGTGCCCTGAATGGGCAATAATCGAATTGCAAGGCGTGGTTGAAGTGCAGCCTTCCTTCCGAGATTCTCTCCAAAACCTCCAAATCGGACTGCTTTGCCGCCCTTCCTTCCAGGTTCTTTTTCTGCTTCTGCTTTAGATTTTTACAGTAATATTACTAGTTAAAAAGCCACCCACCCCATTAACAGACCTCCATGTTAAATGATTCTGCAGGAGAATTACACTTTCACGGTTGGCTATCATGAATTAACAGGGTCAAAAGTGGCCCTGAAGAAGCCCATGTTGGTTCTCAAGAAAATCAAGCGCATGAACGTGGACCAAAGTGATGAGGCTACTTCTTCATCAAAGGTGGAGCTCGATGTTGTTGGAGTTATTCGGCAGAAGATTTTGTTCAAGACCAGGCCTAAGGCCCTTATTTCTGGTAATCTTTTTTCTTTTATTGGCCGAGATTGATGGTAAGCTATTTGAACATTTTCATTTCAAACTTGTCAAATAATTTCTGGAAATTTAAGCTTTTCACCATTTGAAGTTGTTAAGGTGGAAAACAGAAATCATGAAAAAGAACATATATATAGACAACCTAATTAAGCATGGATGCCTTTTTTTTTTCACATATTGTATTTCCTTTTAACATTGGATGACAGTTTATCTATTTCATCTTAAGGAAAAGGATTTTGATCTTTATGATTAAAAAAATGTTACAAGAAAATTTTTCGTGCTTATATGTGTTCTTTTGCTGGTCTCTAGATACGTGTCCTTTACTCGTGATAACTTGGCTGTCTTACGGAGGGAGAAGTCTAACATCTCCTCCTCCTCCTCCTTCCCATTGTCTGTTGATTTGAACAGGACCACAGCCCGCTGTTAAGGAAAAAGCTAATGCTGCAGGTGCTGCTGCACAAAAGCAATCAGTTTGAAATCCATAGATGGCACTTTGGACAATTAGAGCAGTTTAGAGTTGCAAGAAGTGAATCTGGTAGTTGGGTTATTCAGATGTTTCCAACTTGCTAAAAGTCAGTTAAATCATGTCCTTGGTGTTTCTATGTTCTGAAATGCTGTCTTTTGCCCCCTTGATCTTGTTGGATGTAGTTCTCTTGTTTGGAAAATGATGGTTGAAAGGAAATTGTTTGAATTTTTTGAACAGTTTTATGAGAAAGAAGACAACGCTATTGCCAAAATTGAGCTAATGATTTCCCCATCCCAGCAGAATAATTTGCTCTAATGAGTTGGTTAATGCTTAGCTTAGGCCTCATTCTCAGTATCAATGGTTAGTTCCTTAGTATTGCACCCTGATTACCCAGGTGCTTACTCATCTTTGTGCTTTGGCATCTAAGTAGTTAATATTCTTCTCTCCACAATTTGCTCTTTTATTCACTCCCAATTGCATTGAAAACCACTTCCACAAGAAGCCGCTTGGATGAATGAATACCAAGTAGGAATGTTGGTATGTAATTTATAACAATACTCCTATAAAACAGCATCTTTCACAATTAGTATGAATGAGAATTAAGAAGCTATTTCAATGGCGACAACTTGCAAGACATCAGTATCATCTGAATTTCACACACCATCAAAACAATAAAAAAAATGGACATAACTTTGCAGAGGGTGGAAAAGAATCGATCAGCTTTTAATCAAAATATATAAAATCTAATGTGAACCCTGATTTATTATTTACAGAAGCTACAAAAGCAGGGCAAATCAACTGCAACTTGGTATCTTTCCCTCTAAGCTCTAAGTAGGAGCAGTTACACCCGCACGAATTCTCAATCTTTCAGTTCTCTTGCTTCTCTCCATTACCTCCACTAACCGCTCCACACCTTCTTTAATCCCCATCCTGCAGTTTAAAAAAAAAAAAAAACTGCAACGTTTATATCTTTGTAAATTTAAGGTGAACTGCATGGTTACAATGACGGTACAATACTCCAAACTGAGGGTCAATAGTACATATAGAATGAAAGATTCCAACTGCATCCAACAAGAAAATGGAGCTCAAACTTTATGGAGACAAGATTTTCATGAATAAGCTTACCCATCAAAAGCAGAAATGGCCTCAAGCATGTAAACCCTTTCGTCCAATTTTTTAAGATCTAGATATCGGGCAAGTTCTTCAGCAGATACAGCTTCAGAGAGGTCCTGCATTGAAGCACACTGGTTAAAACCTTGATTATAGTCCACTCAAATTCAAAAGAGGAGATGGAAGAAAATCTTGACCACAGTGTTTCTCATAAAGAATAAAAGGAAAACAGATATAACAGTTACTAAGCTCAAGAATTTTCCATTATGTGGAAAGCTTTTTCCTTCACCACCTGCTTTCTAAATGCCAAATAAAGTTCATTTATGCTGACATGAAACCAGATGTTTCCAAGTCCAAAAAGCATAAAAATGCCACAGATAAGGCACTAAATGCAGAAATAAATAAGAATGTTATACGGAGAGATATATGATATGAAACAAGGAGTTCTCATAGATGCTTTAAAGAAAAAGGGAAGAATTTTCATTGTCAACTTGTAATTTACTTAAATAACTTGGATTTTGGGGATCTGGGATTAGGATTAAGGGTACCTGCTTGTTTGCTAATATCAAGAGAGGGGCTCCCTGCAGATCCTCGTGTCTAAGAACTTTCTCTGAATACGAAATAAAAGGTATTAGTAAGTCAATATATCGCCATCAAAAAACTTCACAAGTTATAAAACTATAGTCAATACCCTGGAACTATAACAAAATAAGCCCCCATATCATTAAATGATTAGACATTATTTACCAAGTGCAGATTTTGAATCTTCAAAACGTGAAGGGCAAGCAGCATCAATTACGAATATCACAGCATGTGCCTCTTCATAGTATTTCTCCCAAATTGAGCGAAGGCCAGGCTGGGAAAGATAGGAAAAAGATAAATTTGCACTGCATATTGAGCTTGCTTTGGGCATTTGTTTTATGCATGACATAAAACTATAAAATCAAATGTCAAGGTTTTAGCATAAAAACTTGCGACTGCATATTGTCAGTTTATCTCCCTTATATACATTTTGAATGATACAGGAACAAAGTGCTTTGAGAAGTTCTGTTAAAAAAACATTGCAGCTAAATTAGTGAATAGACTGAAAGCTTTCAATTGGACAAAACTAAGAAGTAGCATTGAAAAGGCATGAGTTAAATGTGCACTCAAATCACCATAGCGAATAATTAATGAAATATCCATTGTGTTTATATATATATATATATATATATATATTATGAATTCCACTTACCTGGCCTCCCAGGTCCCAGAACACTAGTTTCGTATTTGATACTTCAATCCGACCAATATTAAGCCCCACAGTTGGAACAATTCGATCAGGTGGTAGGCCTTCTAAGTTTGAGTATAATGACTTCAACTTCTCCAACAATGTCTAATTCACAAATAACAAAAAAGATCAATGCTGAAAGCCAGAAATTTTTTGCAAACAGTTTGATATGGATGAATCCTACAGCAGTCATTACTTATCTGCCAGGGACGAGTAGAAGATTAATTTTAAAACCAAAGAAATAACTTGAGAGACATTACTGTTTTCCCAGCCTTGTCAATTCCAAGAATGAGTACATGAAACTCCGTCTTACTAAATATGTACTTCCAAAGTCCATAAAAGAGTGAGAACATCTCTGTCTTGTTTACTAATATCAATTATTCAATCCTTCTGAACTTCAACACTAAAAATAACTGTCTCTTGTTGTCATAATTTACAGCCTGAATCCTGAAAATTGAAGTCAACATTACAAGGCAAACAAGAAGAATTAACCAAAGATCAAAAAGAATGGAGTCAAGTACAAGAAACTCAGCCCAGTCAAGTCGTTTAAAGATTGTTCAAAAAACCAGTTTTCATTGCTTAAGTTATTTAAGCAACAACTCTTATAATCTAGCAAAGAAATAAGCCTGCAAAATCATTTTCAGAATCTTTTCAATCGGCAAATAATCTGCAATAAAACAACTATTGCTTCGTTTTCAGCTTTTCCTACCTCTCAATCTAACTTCTCAAGATGCAACTAGCATTCAACATTCACTGTTTCCTTCACTGTTTCCTTCCAAAATATTAACATGCCAAATCTGATCGAACTAATAATTAAGACGAACCATAAACCAAGAACGAATCTCTTCAGAAATTTATAGTTTTAATTTTTAAGGAAATTAAAATGAAAATTGACAGTATCCATTAATGGAATAGATCCAATTGAGCAGTGGAAAGATTAGATTGAGATCTCGTCTCAAAGAAGAAAAACAAAAATAAAATCTAGCTACGAATCCATAATAGAAGAAGCATGAAAAATAGAAGAAAGTTAACAACTTGTGAAGATTGGAAAACCAAAATAAAAATCCATGGCCAGAACTGCCAGATTAAGAGTAACGAAAGAAAGAACAAAAGGCTTCGATCCAAAAAAAAAAAAGACACAGTAAAACAGATCAAATTCGAAAGAAATGTGAGAAATAATCCTTACTTTCAAAGGAATTTAATTGCAGGATTCTCGCTTCTCCTGCCGTGCTGTTAAGCGCTGGAAAAAATAAGAACCGCTGCTTTTCTGTTTTCTTGCCAAATTTCCCCTTTTTTCTTTTTCGTTCCCTGGGTGCCTCAACATTCATATTTCAATGTTGCCCTTGGCCACGTCAATGGACCCCAAGTCGCTTACACGGTAAGATCCACTGGGATCGTTAAAACTGACGTCAACAAAAAAGTCTAATAAACCGAAGGTGGTCGTAACTCCATTGCATCCGGATTCAACCGGTAATTGGAAATTGCGAAGGGTAGAATTGAGAAAAAGAAATAATAGAAGGTCAAGAAATGAGTAAAATAAAAGCCCCTAAAAACATTTTCGTGGAAATTTGGTCGACACGAGGAGCGATCGAAAGGTACAAATTTCTCTCCCGATTTCCTTTTTTTTCCCCCATGTATTTGAAATTCATTGAAAAGAGAAAGAAATGGAAATCTTTTATTTTTGGATTATTAATTATTATTGGAGTTAATTTGGCCGTTTCAAACTTTTCTTCTATTTGTTCTTGCGTTTTCTCGACGACCAAACTGAGCTTCATAGGCGGATCCTTGTATTGAATTGATGGATTGGATTAGTTATTTCTATATAGTTCATTCAACGGATTACTGTTTCCTTCTTATTCTGCAATTTCGCCCTTTGCTTCATTGTCCTTCTGATTCTAGGTTTAATTACTTGCATGTAGTTGTACTTTATTACTATAACTTTTTTGTAATTAGGGATTTGCAGTTTCTTAGCTGTATAATCTATGCGTACACTTTCGGTTTCATTATCTTTTGCCATTAACTCGTACAGTCGTTCACTGTTTTAGGCATGGTCCATTTTGCATGTAGATGAATTCTGTATGTCCTTTTTTTATTATTATTATTATTTTGGATTCTACTAGCAGTAAACCTGAAATTGTTGGACTTATTGGGGTTTACAGTTGGGAATCGAGAATCTCTGTTGACTCTGTATAGCTAGTTAGAGTTGCTGATGCATGTAGCCCTAGCATAATGAGATTTTTGCTGCCAGGAATTCTCATGATGAAGCCGCTGTTTGGGAATTTTTTTTTAGTTTATTTCGGGATAATTCTGTGTAATTTCTTCCTCTCATGGCCACTATTAGCATTTTCTGTTATTGGGTTTTGCATAGTTTTTTTCTGGAGTTTGAGTAGCTAGGGCTTTTGACACAATTTGGTGTTGTAACTTCTGGTCTTTCTAGTACCTAATTTCTCAATTTGTAATGTTATCAACTTGAAACATTGTTTGCCTTTCAACTCATTCAGGTTTGATTCTTTCCTTGCCACTCTTATGCTTTACATAAAATAACAGCCAAGACAAGCCTGATTATAGCATGATTCAGTAGTATCACTCTGTATTATCTGCATAATAATTTAGATGTTTCATTTTCCATATATTAAAGTTTTGATTAGTGATTATGATAATGTTTCAGTGGACCAGGACTATTTGAAGCTTGCTGTTAGCACGTGGGAGTTTTCCAGATGACGTAATTCCAAATATCTTCCATATTCTTTTCTTACTTTCCTGTTTTGCCCTTTTGGAAGGAGATGGGACGGGATGGGATGTAGGGTTGATTTGTGGTTAACTTGTAGTATTAAAATTTGTTTTTATCATTATTCTTTATAGCATGTAATAAGAAGTTATTGCTATTTTTGACGCTAAACAACCTCAACTTTTCAACTTCAATTCTTAGCCTGTATTTTCCCTATTTAGGTTTAATCTAAGCAGTTCTAGATATGGCTTTCTTTAATATATTGACCATGCAGATTGTTCATTTTAACAGAGAATGGATTTTTCGAATTACTTAATATTCATAAGGTATTTTTGTCATTTAGAAAAGGCTCTCAAACATATCAGTTAATGTTTTGATATAACTGAAGGTGAGCCGATTGCACTGGTAAAAATGGGGTAAATGTGCCCATTTTAGTTATTTATTTGTCGTGCCAAGTGACAATGCATTACGTTGATGTATCACTTTAATGAGGAAGGATATAGTAAACTCATCTAGAAGTCAGCCTTGTATCACTGCCTTGATTTGGCTATGGCTGGAGTTCAAATCCAGTTTCTTGACTCAAGTAGTCCAGTATTAGCTGTTTTTGTAGTATATTTCCATTTTGCATTATACTTGCTTGTTTTTATGCTTCGATTTTTATTTTAATACGGTTTGCTATTAAAGAAAGAATTATAGTTTTTTTCAGTTACATTTTTCTTAGTTGTTTTTTGGATCTGATAGTTCTTTGTTGGGGTAACAGTAGGCGTGTAAGATGGAACGAGGAAAATCTGGAGGAAATTGAAGCAAATAAACCCATAAGGCAGAAAATAACTGAACCCAAGACGCCATACCACCCCATGATTGATGATGATGGTATTCTCGTTCACATGGTGTTTTTCCTTCTGCATAAGCCTATTATTTTATGTGTGGGTACATGTGTAAATGTTAGAAAACGGTGTTGATCTAGTTTTGTTTTCACTTTATTTCTGCTTTTGGTTAGAGCTTTTTTCTAAAAATTGGGTTACATTTCTCACCTTATAATCTGGATCTTGGTTGTAGGGTCTTTGTCTCCCATAGGACGTAGTTTCAACGATTGTATCGGTGATGCTATGGATGCAGATGAATTATGCTCTGCTTTGAAGGATGTGGCTTCCTCAAGTAGAAAAACTGGGCAATCTGGTGGCTGGTCATCTTCTGAGGATGAAGCTGATCCTATGGATCATGAAGAAGAAGGTTTGTTGACCATTGCTTTTAAGTTGTCCTTTTCCCGTAGCATATTTAAAAATGTTTTACTTTAAGTTGGTAAGCATCTCTAATGACTGCTTTATCTTCAAAGAGATTAAAAGTGAGAAAAAATCCTTGACAGTATGAATGGTATAAGTTCTGCTCTAGTAGACAGCTTTTGATGGTTATACCCTTTCTTGTTTTTCCTAGTGAACTTTGTCATCTCGAGAAGAGTTTTTTCTTTTGGAAGGAAGGGTGGGAAGTTGATTGTTGAAATAGTCAGGATTGACCTGCTGTTGTGTAGATTCATGATGTTGAACGTTATCATTAAAAGCTTCTAAACTCTGCTTTAACTTATAGCTTGAAAATTTCCATCATTTCCTTGTGCCATTTTATGATGGGTTCCAATCATCTGTATGATTCTCATGGTTTACTCTTATACCTTTTCAAATATTGAGAAAGTAAACAGAAGTAAATGACATGTCTTACAAATCATGCATTACCTAGTTCCAGAAAAGTGATAAGGTTCAACACCTCTCATTACCCTCCACCATCCCAATCTATGGTACCTCTTTTAGTTCATCACTTGTTGATAGTTTTCTGTCTTGTGTTCAATCTGTGGGTGATGGGTTTAGTCTGTTCCACTTTTGTCATATTCTGAAACAGGTCGAAGTGGTATGAGTTTTAAGGAACAAAGAAAGGCACACTATGATGAGTTTTTGAAGGTAAAGGAACTGCGACGTAAGGGCTCTTTCCTTGAGGATGGAGATGATGAAGTGGAGGGAGATTCATCTTCATCATTAAGCTCTGGTGTCAAAGACATAGAAATACGGGAAGGTCCTGCAACTCTGCCTCAAAAATCTTCTGCAAGTCCGGCTAATGGATCTTAAAGTCATCCGGCCAGTCTGAGACCTAAAGCTGACTGTTTTGACATCCTTTTTCTGGTAGTTTTATGGTATTTTGGTGCAAAAAAAAAAAAAGAAAAAAAACCTTTAGGTTCTGTATTTCTCCATATTTGAGTTAAACTTGTACATAATTTTCCCTCATTTGGCATGTTTGTATGAAGACTTGGGCACCAAACTTTTGATCTTTGACAAATAAGCAAAATGGCAAGGTTTTGAGACGTTGATGTGCACCCTGATTCATATGCTTCATTGATGTATATCTTAACTCTTAAACACCTTGCTTGGGCTTCAAAAACCGCTTGATTTAGGAAATTGCCATTTGCTGATGAAGGGCGAGTTATCTCTTTCATGGTTTGCCACACGGAATTTTTTTTTCTTGCGATTTTATCTGAACACAAGATTCAAAAGGTTTTTTTTTTTTGTTGACAAAGGCGCAAGATTCAATTGAGACGGCGCCAAATCAACGTGGGAAAATTAAGCTCATCTTTTACTGGTGGATTTTTGAATGAATTAGAGATTCATTGCCATATTTGAGAAAGAAAATTTCATGTTAGTGTAACAAAATTAGGCACTGTTAATAGTGCTTGCTGTCTCTCAAATCTTAGTAACTGCACGCTTATCCGTAGTACACATCTGTTATCCACTTGTTCTTTGTCTTTTAGGGAGGATATAATAGACGGTTCAACGACCCAGCACATAACCCAGAAACTCTGCAACCATGGACACCGATAACGCTTCAATGGCAATCCTAGCCTCCCAAATATGCAACCATATAGCCTCCATCTTCTCCAAACCCAGTACCCACCCACCAGCCTTAGACCTCATGGTAGCAGAGTTGACCTCCATAGCGTCCCAAAAGGGTCGCGTCTTTCTCTATGGAGTAGGCCGAGAAGGTCTAATGCTAAAGGCTCTGTGCATGCGCCTGGCTCATCTGGGCCTCTCTGCTCACTTTGTCTTCGACATGACCACTCCTCCGATTACTTCCAAAGACCTTCTCATAGCCTCAGCTGGCCCTGGAGGATTCTCCACCGTTGATGCCATATGCTCTGTGGCAAGATCCCACGGTGGTAGAGTTTTGCTGCTAACTGCCCAACCTGAGACTGGATACAGCGTGAAGCATGCAAATGTAGTGGCGTATGTACCAGCACAAACAATGGCTGATGATAAGGAGGATCGTGGTGAGGAGAAATCTAGAACGTTGCTACCTATGGGGAGTGTTTACGAGGGGGCCATGTTTGTGTTGTTTGAGATGGTGGTCTACAAATTGGGTGAGGTTTTGGGAGAGAGTCCTGAGGCTATCCGAGCTCGTCATACCAATCTTGAGTAAAAAGTCTGCTAGGTATGTACTCTGTCTGGACCTCCAACCTTTTCTGCGCTTGTATGCTTATGTCTGAAAATTAAAAATTAAAAAAGAAAAAAAAAAAGAAAAAAGGATTTGGTTTTTGGCAATGGCTGGGAGCTTCAGTTCTTAAGTCTGTTATTGTTGTTGTTGTTGGTTTTTTATTACATGCCCCTGGTTGTTTTCTGTTTTATTTCCAAAAAGAATAAATCAACTGAAGGTATGACCATATTAGTCTGTAGCTTAAAACAGTCAATTAAGATTACTTGCTTTCATGCATAGTTGTGGAGTCCAACTTAGTAGTTATAACATAACATCCATCAATGATCATAGAAAAAATCTATCATACTTGATAAATTATCAATATATCAGTGTAGGCCAACTCAGCAGTTATAGCATCCGTGAATGCATACTAAGCTGTCAACAGATATTCAATATTATATCAAGTTAATAATTTTGTTGTTATAAAATTTTAATAAGCTAATTTGTCTGTTCTTTAGTTCTGGGTATTTATGGTAATGGAACTCTGTATTTGAATGATATCTCAGCTCTCTTACCATCCATAAACATATCTCAGAAGTCTTTCCCCACTCACCAGTTTCTGTTTCATGTGCAGATATTCTGGGAGTAGGTTTTGATACCAAGTCTATTATCTTGATCTTGATCTCTGCATTGTTTTTATGTTTATACTTGAACAAAATTATCCTAGGTAGAAGATACAAAACTCTAACAAATTAGGTCATATTTGGAGTTTCCACAGGCGGCGCCCGAGTAAAATATGCCCTACCATCAAACTCTACTCTTCATTAGACATCTCAAATTCTTAATCCCTAATATTATATTTCTTCTTAAGGGGAAAAAGTGAAAAACAGTTATAGTAGTTGTTAACTTAACATTGATAACGGTAGTAATAAATAACAATGTTCCTAAAGCTACTGAAATTCATGCTATCATCAACAATTCTGAGTCTGATAAAAAGCTTAGCAAACATATTTGATTGGTTCTGTCCTACGAGCAACTTTTTTTTCCAGTTATGACATTCATAGGTGTCTCTTCCTCATGAAAACCTGGGAAAGCTTCGGTCAGGGAATTAGGCAGAGATCTTAGGCCTTTGGAGATTATGAAGTTTTAAATGTAGCCCTATTAGAAAAAAGTATTATCAATGGCCAATTTCACTGTGGTAATTGAATTCTGAGGTAGTGGTTATTCTATGATTAGTTGATTGGAAAGGACAATCATCAATTATCCCTGAGCTTGCTTCAAGCTGTTTGATAGAGGGAATTCAAAATATCAAATGCATCAGAGCCTGTAGCCTGAATACATTAAATTTTAATTTATTTGCTGATTATTGTACCCCTGCCTTCCACGCAACCCACTCTGGTGATCAAAGTTTAAGCCAAAATATGATGAATAAAAACTACACCAAACCCATACTGACAGAAATAGTAACGAAACAACACTAATATTTTGCAATATTCTTTTCATTGAAATCTTTATTCATGTTTAACAAAAATCTGAACTCTCAAGTCTAATCACCTTACTTCTTCCATGAGGACGAAAGAGGAGGGAAACTTTGTTCATTTTTTAAGAAATTCTTATGATCATTCACGGTCTTTATATATACCAATCTGTTGAAGTTATTCTTATAATCTTTATTCCTGTTTTCTCTTTCTTTTCTCCCCATGGCAGAGCCTTCTTTCTTCTTGCAACTGCTTTTTTTTTTTCCCTTTAATCTTTTTTTTCTTTTCCTTGTTTTGTCCTTCTCTTTTTCTCTAGGTCAAATTCATAGTTAGTTAAAGGTCAAAAGTAATCCCAAAATCATGACTAAAAAACTCAATTAGTCCAAAAACATTTGTTATCTTCTTAAATACTCCATTTACAATTAGTTAAAAGTCTAGACTAACCCTGAAAATAAAATTAAATGATCCAATTATTTCTAAAATCACAAGTTAAACCAAAAATTATATAGCTTAATACCGCAATTAAGCCCTACATCATCATTTATGCCCAAGCTTAATTATCTTAAAACTATGCATCAAATTTTTAAATTGAGCAACTTTATTGAATTGGATGGATGGTATTGAAGATTTTATTATGTATTCGTTCGAGTAAATATAAGCGAAATTCATAAAGTAAAACATGTAAATAATTGCATTAAGTCGAACTTTATAGCATAAAATAGAAATTTGGAGAAAGAAATGCTAAAATCTATACTACAGACAAAACCTACTCGATCTTATTGGTATATATATAATTTATTAGACTGGGCATTCCACCATTGTGCCAGAAATGCTAAGAAAGAAGTCAGCAACTCTTTATTATTTTTCTAAAAAGCTTTATGCTAATGAGTTTTTTTATTTCTTGAAGAAATGAGAGGAGGGATGCTTTGTTCGTGTCTGAAGAAATTTTCAGGATCAATCATCGTCTTCACATGCACCAATCTATCAAAGTTGTTCTTGAAATATTTACGACCCCAGATACTTGCTTGCGCATAACTAGTATTAGCTTTATTGTTGTTCGTTCCAATGTCAAGATCTCTATAATTAATGTATGCCTCTCGTGGAGATTTTGAAACAAAAGAACTCATGTAACTGTAAAGCCTTCTGATCCATCTTATGTACCTTTCAGAGTTTATGTTGTCTTCTTCTTGCCAACCCACATTATATAAGATTTTGTACAAATTGCCAGCTCTATGTGGAAAAGGAGTTGCACTCTCTGGAATCTCATCCATTATCCCCCCATAAGCAAAAAAACGAATATAACCAGATTCTGCTTCTTCCTCAGAAACTCTTGACCATAAACCTCTCAGTCCAATTTCAGGTATGGGTTCCTTTACATAGTCAGATTTTGCTTTGTAGGATGGCCTGGTAAGAGGACTCTGAAAATTCCTATCAAGCAAAATCTCCAATGATTGATTTCGAATTTGGCCAAAGTAAAGAATAGATTCAATCCAACTCATCTCAATGCAATCTTCCTTAACTAGTCTCAGCTCAGGAAATCTCTCTTGCATTAACTGAACAAGCTCATCAATGCCACCAAGAAATAATGAACTAAATGAAGCTACAACTGTTTTCTTCCCATCTTGACTAGAATTCACCCTATTTAGAGCAACAGATGAGAATATTCCATGAGGAAGCTCTGGTGCAACATATTGCCAACGATGAATAAGTTGGATTGCATTTTGTTCAAAGGTCTTGCTAACTGAAAATGCAGTCACAGTTGTCGGAATAGGAACCAACTTTAGTTTCCATGAGAGGACAATTCCGAAGCTACCACCTCCACCTCCTCGAATTGCCCAGAACAAATCTTCCCCCATGGATTTTCTATCAAGAATTCTTCCATTTACATCAATGAGTTGAGCATCAACTATGTTATCAGCAGCAAGACCGTATTTTCGAAACAATAAGCCATATCCTCCTCCGCTAAAGTATCCACCAGTACCCACAGTGTGGCAGATACCCGCTGGAAAGGCAAGAGTTGTACTTTTTTCAGCAATCCTGTAATAAAGTTCACCAAGAATTGCACCAGATTGAACCCATGCAACTCTATTTTCAACATCAACATCGACTGATCGAAAATTAATCAAGTCAATGATGACAAATGGAACTGCAGAAACATAAGAAATACCTTCAAAATCATGCCCACCACTTCTAGTTCTAGTTTGGAGCCCATGTTTTCTTGAACAATAAATTGTTGCTACAATATGGGATGTATTTACTGGTGTTACAATGACCAAAGGTTTGGGTGTATCTGGTGTGGAGAACCTAAGATTTCGGATAGTAGAATCCAAAACAGAGGAAAATGAAGAATTATTTCGTGTGTAGATTACTTTAGAAATAGTAGGGTCATTTGAACGAAGGGAAAGGCAATGAAGAAAATCCTCATGAGCCGAATTTGCCCATGACAAGGAGAAGAGAGAAGCAAAAAGCAGTGGCGTTAACAGTGAAAAGTGAGGAGACTTCATTTCTTATGTTGATTTTGTGCGTCTAAAGTATATTGAGAGAATCCATATTTATAAATATTCCGCAAAATATGTGAACCCCTGGATGAAATTGAGGAGTGACTCCACTTAATTTGTTTTCTTCTGTTTTTTCCTACTAAAATGAAGGTGATCCAGACTTTGATCAAGCAAATAAATAAATATTCAACGTGACGTCGTTCATGGCGATTCAATCTTTGACTATAATGCGAGGGCTACACATATGTTTAGATAAAAAAAGCTTTTCAAATTTCTCTAATTTTTTCAAAGAATTTGTAGCGTACACGTTAAAATCAACAATATCTCTAATTTTTTCAAAGAATTTGTAGCGTACACGTTAAAATCAACAATATTTTACCCAATCTTCAACATTCAGATCGCAAATGATAATGAAAGAACATATGCGATGCAATTCCGGAAGTCATCATTTAGGCGGCGGCCGGCTATGCGAACTGTCGATAGAAAATGTGATATTCGTTGACTAGGAATTGTACTACGAAGAAAGTTACCAGTGGCCACCTAATTTGACTAACGGACAATTGACCCTTTTTTTTTTAGTTTTCATATGACCAAAAAATTTTTTTTATTGTAAACAACCAATGAGATTGAGATTTTAAGTATATCCATGATAACAAAAAAAAAAAAAAAAAGAAATATAGTCAGAGAGAATAATGATAATTTTGTCATATATATGCTCAAGGTTTTCAACGTCGTTGATTGCCTTAGATGATTGCTATGCACTCATTTAAATAATGATGTTCTAATTATTATCAAAAATTAAATTAAACGTGTCTTAATTATATAAATCTATTTATTAAATTAAAAAAATCTCATTATAAGTGCATATAATTTTTTCAACTTAACCTTAGAATAAACAAACACATTTCCCTCTTCCATATGACACCGTAATTGGGCTTGGGAAATTTTTATTAATAACTCGATTTGAGTTAGACCAAATCTACAAGTTCGTTAAGCAACTCGATCCATGAAAATATTTTATTTTGAAATACATTATAAACATTGTATGATTAATTTAATAATTATTATATGTATGTATATATTAAACTTATTTTCAACGAAGACAACTCTTAATTTAAGTGTAACTCATTAATTCAGTTGCATATTGATTGATATTGATTGTCACATGTCAATCAATTTTTTTGCTTTATTTTTTTCTTTGGTAATTTTTTATTTTGATTTTTTGCTTTACTTTTCGTTTTTTTAGTTTTGTTTATTTTATATTTTGTTATTTATTAATTTGCTTATTAATTTGTTTATTTATTTTATTTACATGTATATTTTAATTTTTATTTTAAAGTTATATTTTAATCATTTGACAACATAAACAAACTAAAGATATGGGTTAGCTAAATAAATTTGCAATTTTTTATAATTACATTCATTTATTTGTATCATGTAAATTTTATAAAATTTTGTAAAAAAAAAAACGAACATTCTTTCAATGATAAAATTTTTCTAAAAATTACAAATGTGGTTTCCTAGACATTCCACAGAGGAACTTTTTCCTAAAATTTTACCAAAAGTGTTTAAAAGATTTTGAAAATATTCTAATAAACAATTTTATTTACTTTTCTAATAAAATATTTAGTAAAAAATAGAGTAGATAAAATAAAAATAAATAAAAATTTCTTAAAATATTAAATTAATTCAATGACATAGTCTATTCAAGGGAATAAATGAATTTCTTAAATATTCTTGAGATTAGACTTAGTAGTTTTAAACATGACACTATAACACGATATGAAATGATATGAAGTAGATTTTATAAGTTTTGAGTTTTTATGATTTATATGGTGTGAGTTTGTAATTAGGTGTTTTTTTTATGAATTTTTAGTTTTTATTATTTATTATTTATAATAAAATAAATTAGAAATTAAAATATAATAGTAATGATAAATATAAATATTAAAAGAAATAAAATAAAAGCTACTTTTATTATTTTTTTATTTTAAATATTTTTTTAAAAATTATAATTTATATAATTAAAAAATCATACATTTGATCAAATTATTAATAAAAATACAATGCTAATAACATATACAATATGAAAAATGAAATACTATATATATTTCAATTTTTTGTTTATTTATTATTATTATTTTTATACTAAAGTAATAATAAATATATTCAAAACAATTAAAAATTTGACAACAAAATTTTTCTACCAAAGGTTAATTCCAATTGTTTATAATGGGAAAGGGGAGAAAAACATCATTTTCTTTGAATTCATCAATAAAAATAAATCACATGCTTAAAACCGATTAAATTTACCATATGTACTTTGTTGGCTAGACAATTTTAATCATTTAGCTTTTTTTTCTTTTTTTTTGAATGACTAAAGAGCATTGATTCAAAGAATCATATTCTAAATTATACAACAAAAAATGGAAGAAGAAAAAATTGGTTTATAGTAAACTCTTTTTTTTTACCAAGATAAAAGAGGAAAGTTTTTATAAGCATAACAATAAAAGTGATTTTTTTTTTACTTGCTATTATTAAGAATTGAATTTTAATCATTAAAATTAAAAAATTAATATTTTTTTAACATATTACTCGACAAAATAAATAAAATTTGCTTATTGTTTTCAAATACAAAAGAGGAGATATGACCAAAATTTTTTGCATTTTCATTTCAAAGAAATTTTCTAGTAGCAAAATTCAAAACCGCCTTACAAATTATTTTGATTTTTAATGTTGGAAGGACTTAAATTTTGGAAATTTATACCTAGGTCAATTTGGATTCAAATGTGGCGCTAATGGATATGTTTTTTGTTTGAAAAGTTGTGCCAAGTGCACCGTAGAAACATTTGGTAAACAACTCCATGACAACGGTAGATAGTTTTAAATGTACCATTGTAGACATCGATTTTATTCAGATCTACTGTTTTAATTTTAATAATAATAATAATAATATTTTTAATAAAAAATAAAATAAAATAATTATTAATAAACAAAAAAAAGTAAACAAACAAAAGAAATAGAAAACGATAGAAAGCAGGGCGGCTGATGCCTAGCACCGGCCACTCTGCACTCACCACTAGTAGCCCCGACCAGCCACCCTACAACCCACCTCCTGCCACTCCCTATAGCCACCCCTACAACATCATCTGTTCTTTAAAAACTCCCTACTTTTTCCCCACGAAGCTCGAAAAAAAAAAATCCCCTTTAACAACTCTCGAATCCTCTTTTTCGAAAGCCTTCGGAACCCCTTTCGAAAACTCTCAGACGAACTACACCCCCTCAAAATACTTTCAACAACCCCAAACACCACACCAAACCCATACCCAAACAGAAACGCAAAAACAGATCTATACAAAATACAAAAAAAACAAACACAGTCATTCTGTAGGGAGGAACCTCAGCGCCAAGCTTCCTGCAAGACAAAAAAAGAATCAGATCAGCTTTTGTTTTACAAAAAAAAAAAAAATAGCAAACTCAGAAAAGTTCAAACCCCGATCTACAGCGATCGGGGCTTTCTCCTAAAAATGACCTCGGATCTGAACTCAGGAGGCCGAGAGGAGCATCGCGATGCATTTTGGTAATTTTTCGACCACCAACGACCACCTCCGACGGTGACCAGACGACGGTCAGTGCGGTGCTCCGACAACCGGATGACGGGTGACCGGACCTCTCCCTCTCTCCCTTTTTTTTTTCTGAAAACAAAAAGTAATGAACCAAAAAAAAAAAATCTTCAGCTATATATAGTAAAGCAAAAACTCAAAACGACGTCGTTGAGGGAAAGACCCAAAACGACGTCGTTTTAACCAAGGAGGATCAGCGCGTGGACCCGGATCCGACCCAAGGTCCTCGCAAACTGACCCGCCAACCTGTTTCAGCCAACCTTGAACCGGTTCATACGAACCACGCAGTAAACGGTCTGAACCATCGGATCGTCGAACCGCTGACTGAACCGCAAACCAATTAGACCGATCCAGACCAACGTTGAGCAGATCATTGATCGGTCCGGATCATGTACAAAATTTTTTTTTAATTTTTGTTATTTTAAGTATATTTTTATATTTATGCTTGATAAATTTCTAAATTTGTTAGAATAAATGTCCCATTGTTTTAATAATAATAAAAATGAAAACGATTAAAAATATATATTAAAAATGCTCAAAAAAAATTATTACTATTATTATTATTTTTCCTGCTTAGATGTTGGAGGGAATAAAAATATTTTTCTAAAAAAAAATAATAATTTCCCCTAGATGTTGGGGAATAATTATGAATAAATTTTCATAAAAAAAAACACATAAGAAATTTTTAATTAGTTTTCAAAAATTATAAAAAATTAAACATGCTTCGAAAGTCCGCCTAGATGATGGGAATTTTTAGAGATGTTTGTGTTTTACTTAAACCTTAAACACTAATTTTTAATTTTCAAAATCCTAAGTTTTTAAAACCCCAAAAAATCCAAAATCTCATAAAATTCGAAACTCCTAAAATCCAAAACCCTCAAAAATCTAAAATCCTTAAAATCCAAACTCTTAAATCAAAACCCCAAACCCCAAAACCCAAACCCTAAAATCTCTAAACTCTAAAATCAAAACCCTAAACCTTCCATATCCTAAAATTCAAGCCTTAAAACCCTCTAAACCTTCAAAACCTCTACTTAAGCCCTTACTCAAAACCTCTTAAAAATCTTAAAAACACATGTGAAAATTTCATTTGAAGCAATTTGTTCCTGAATGCCGCCTAGATGATGGGGTATTTAGAAAATCTTACTTCATTAAGTCTTTTCACACGATTTCTTAATTCGCATTAATAATAAAATTAATGAATAAAAAGTATACTAAAAAATTGGGATCTTAAATATAAACAGTCGCACCTAAGCTCTGCCTAGATGTTGGAGAGTCGGGGTGGTCTCATTATACTTAAGAACCCAACTATTAAATTGCATTTCATTTCTCATGACATTCATTAGTATACATACGTTAGTATGTTATTATCAATAATTGTCTGCATTATTTTATCTTTAATTCTCTATTTGATAATAAAATATTTATAATAAAAAGAATAATACTTTTAAAAAAAATTGTGATATTATAAAACAAAATAAGAATAACATTCCAAAAGAAATAATTCTTGGTACTTTGCTTAGATGTTGGAGAGTCACTAACAATTAT